CATATGATCCAACCAATCATATGAGCATATGATCACGTTTCTTACAAATTACATGAAAACCATGTTACTGAAAACTTTCACAAAATTACGTAAATTATGGTAATTTGACAACCCTACTGCGCAGCGGCCCATCCCTAGTGTAGACTATCCCAGAGGTACACCACTCATTAAATCTAAACGCCTCTTTCGAAGAATCTACCCAAAGTAGTGTGGTAGATAATTATAGTTTAGCATCAGTGTGGAGAACCGAATTTTGTCACTTTATAGGGTACTCTCTGATTAATGCTTACGTATTTGAAGAATGACTTTAGGTTTAATTTCAAGGGAATTAACACGTAAATTCAAACTAGACAAGGTGGCACCGCTCTTAATAAATATTTTTAATAATAAATTAACTATATCCGCTACTAATCTATAAAGTTAGCATATAATTTCACGGTTTTGCACTGCCACATGCATTGTCCATTGAGGTATAATACTTCACGAATAGAAACATACTCATTGTGGTACTTATTTACATATTACATTGATCCCACCAACCATACATGTTTGCTAATTTAACGTACACTGCTAAACCATACACTACAACTATTCGTATTTTCTTGCTAAAAATTAGCACTAAAACCCTAAACAACAATAAATCCTAACCTAACTTTATAATTATAATAAATTTACTCACTATTAAAATCGTGGACTTATCTATTATCGAATTTAAAAAGTGTTATAAGTTATTTATAATAGTTATTATAGCATTTGAATTCGATAGAATTAGTCAATATAATCCATATATAGATGCTGGTGAAACTAAATAATGCAGGTGAATCTGGTGATTATCTAAAATCTGATTGGCTGCTATATTAAATTCATCAGTTTCACCAGTTTCACTAGCATCTATACGTAAACCAATATTCAATATTACAGGATTAAAAATAAATATTAATCGATATAATTAAAAATAAAATATAATTCATCATAGATTAAAAGTTTATTTGTCTGTTTAATAAATTTTAAAATGCGAAAACATATGTATAAAAATTATTTTGTCACAAATGATAATAAATTCTTGTTTTATATTTTTTAAGCTTATCAAAGGTTTGTATGGATTTTTTTTTTAATTGATTAAAAATATAAAACATAATAAACCTATTATGAACATAAAGAATATATATCACAAAGTTTAAAGACAAGCCTAAATTTAGGCATAATAAGTAAAGCTTCTGCCTTTAAAATGTATCCGTTTGGCTGGTAAATTACAACGTTTCACAACATTTTACATTGGTTATATATCGGAGGTAAAATCCGATTTTTTTACCATTATAAGAATTCAATAACAACAATCCTTTCAAAATGATAACATTACCAACCGAATGCTTTCTCGAAATATTTAATAATTTTCGAATTTTTAAGTATAAATCATTTAATAGTATTCGAATTAATCAAACTGATTATAAAAGCTTATTTTCATGCCTTCTTGTAAATCGTCGATGGTGCAAAATTATTATTCCAATATTATGGAGTGTACCTTCTTTTAGCGTTAAATGCTGAAGATCAGGCTCAGTTGATCCCCCTTAAAATTATTCTTCCAAATTGTCCAAAGCCATTGTTTAAATACGAAAATTATATTGAATTTGTATATTATGATTTGGCCTATGGTGTCAAAAATTGGCTTGAAAATAAAGGATATTACTCTGAAGGAGATAATGATGAACTTGCAAATGCTATTAAATGTTCTTTAATTCACATGTTTTTGCGAACAAGTAAAAATATTAAATATTTATCACTTGACAATACTATTAATAAAACAAATAAAACAATATTAACAGGCGCACTCGACAAGAACACCACGCTGACTTCTTTAATTCTTGAAAGTTATAATCTTGGATCAGAAGGTGGAAAAGCATTTGCAAACTCACTTTGCAAGAACACCACACTAACTTATTTGAATCTTGCGTATAATAATCTTGGACCGCAAGGAGGAAAAGCATTAGCAGATGCACTGTGCAAGAACACTGCGCTGACCTCTTTATTTCTTTGCAGCAATAATCTTGGATCAGAAGGAGGAAAAGCATTAGCAAATGCACTTTGCAAGAACTTCACGCTGACTTCTTTAAGTCTTGGTGAAAATAATCTTGGATCAGAAGAAGGAAAAGCATTAGCAGATGCACTTTGCAAGAACTCCACGCTGACTTTCTTGAATCTTTCTTATAATAATCTCGGATCAAAAGGAGGAAAAGCATTAGCATATGTACTTCTCAAGAACTCCACACTGAGTTTTTTGAATCTTTCTTATAATAATCTCGGATCAGAAGGTGGAAAAGCATTAGCAGATGTACTTCTCAAGAACACCACTCTAACTAATTTGTATCTTGTTGGTAATGATCTTGGATTAGAAGGTGCAAATGCATTAGCAGTTGCGCTTTGTAAGAACACCACGTTGACTTATTTGAATCTGAATAGTAATAATCTTGGATCAGAAGGAGGAAAAGCACTAGAAAATGCACTTTGCATGAACAATACTCTGAAAATGTTGTATGTTATTTGTAATGAAATTAGTTTTACTGTAAAATCTAATAATCCAAATATTACAATATATCAATCAAATGTATATAGTATACAAGAGTGGATGGGGCGCCACTGGCGCCCTTGTTTTGTAAATGATTTTTAATATTTATAAATAAATCTTATATAG